CTTGTGACTGGAATCTGAATTTCAATTTTGCAAGTGTACAGTTGAACTGAATAATCTTTGGCACAATGCAGTGCACAACTGAGCCACTAAATGGCTGATTTACTAAATTATTATTACATGAGCCCTTGCTGTTCCAAATGAAAGTGCAGTCACTGACTTCCTCCATGGTGAGTTCAAATTGTTCTGTGTTTAAATATTCAGCATGAGGCTAATGTGAACTGATGAAATGAGACGATAAACATTCACTTTCGATACAAAGAGAGCGGCAGAGAGGCAGCGCGTCATGAGGCCCTTGGAGGTGAAAATGATTTACGCTTCAGAATGTGGCTGACAACTTCCACTTACTTTAAGGTACTCTTAATTAGCCCAGCATTTGAAACAACTGATTCCTGTGTTTAAGAAGAACAGCTTCATAGGGTCTGAGATTTTCAAATGGCAATGACGGAGAGGCTTCCATGAGGATCCGCTACTGCCTCAGAGAGTCCAAACCTGAGATGCCATCCATGGCCCACGGCTGGCTGGCTCCCCAGCACCAGGAGAGTCACATGTTTGTCTGAGCAACTATAGCGTTTGATATTCAGTATGGTTTTTTTTTAGATTCATCTAAAGGGTCTATGATTTATGGGCCCTGTGACCCAGCCCTCTGCACTCTATCCCCATGACAAGCTACAATTTGCTGCATGGCCCCATGGACACATAGCCATAATCTCACTAGCTCCCTTCCTGACACCTGATGGAATCAACTACCAGCTTCACATGTCTTTGGATAAATCGAAGCCCTCCTGTCTCCTGTCCCTTTTGAGGCCAGTTATAGGCAAGCACTTAAAATATTGTGATCACTTACAGTAGATTAGAATTTTTTATTGGCACCATGTTGCCATCGCAACGCGAAGACAGCAGATGACTTAAGCTAGGCTTGCAAAGCACAAGGCTGCTCATCTGGCAGTTAAAATGAATACAGTTCATTTCACAAGTTTCCCATATGGACTCTTAGTGTATGGTAATGAGGGGACCATATGGTGAGAGAAAATGCTCAGAGAACAATTGGGATCCATTGGTTGAGTGAGAAGTTGGGAGAGACAGCCGAGTGAGAGATTCTGGTGAGCTCTTGGGGGTTCGAGGTTTGGTTGTGGTTTTGGGGGGATGACGGTTTCCCATAGGGGTTTTGAGTTTCTTAATCCATTCCTTAATATGTCGGCTGTGCAAAATGACAAACATCTTGCAAATCTTGCAATATCATCCATCACAGACTGTCAGCAGTGTTTGCAGATCTGACTTGCAAGATCCTTTAAATGTCTTGTTCTTAAAAGGCAACAGTACCAAGTTTTTAGACAAAGTGCAGGAGAATTTAAGCACTTCTGACAAGCTGAGACATTAGCAGTAATGATTTTAAAAACACTTGCATCTTTTGCCTGCATGTTTAGCTGTAAATAATGCTAGAATGTATAAAAGCTTTAAAGTAAAAATGTAATAAATACTTTTTATTATGTTTCATAAGGGATGAAAAATGCTCGCAGCCATGTCTATGCCTGTCTATCCATGCAAACATATGGAGATGGATGGCTCCTGCTCCCTTCGCCACCAACCAGATCGAGAACCTGGGTAGACAGCTTGAAAAAGACTGTACAGTCAATCCCGTACTATCCATGCTTCATAAAAGATGAATATAAATGCATTAGTTAGACACGGTGAGCTAAATTAGAAGGTCAGGCAGGGCTAGGAGGGCTGAAAAATCGCACAACCAATGAGTGTAATTACTCTTTCTTAAGTCTATTAAGTGGTGTTGTTCTATCACGGCTCTGGGGTATAGGACACGAAGAACAAGATAAAGTAATGTGTATTTATGACTCCCACTGGATCAATTTACCAGATATTTTCAGCTCCATAAAGCAAAATACACAAATGTGGCCTTTGTTGCTTTTCCCAAACTGCTTGGTTTTCTCGAAAAGGGAGACTGGGTCTCATAATCAAACTGTGTTTGCTTGGTGAAGATTGCCATACCAGCCTCTCCTGATGAAGGAAGGAGGAAAAGCTACTGAGAATCTGAGGGGGATGGACAGGAGATATTGCTGAGGAAGAGGAGGCAGAAGGTAACTGCCAGCAGGCAGAAGTATTTGAGTGAGGAGGACTAAAGGAACAATGGAAATTTAACCTACTGGATACAGGGAGGGTTTTGAACTCACAGACCCAAGTTCAACTTTGCACTTTCTCACTTGCTGGCACTGATGTCATAGCAAGTCATCAGACAGACCTCCTCCAGGGGCTCAGCCTAAAGGCCTCTTCTGTGGAATGTGAGATGCATGTCATGCTGAGATTAGTGTCCCCACTTTCTGGAGTCTCCCCAGATGCCTGGAACTTCTCTTTGTATGCATTATCCCCTTAGCTCCTGGGGAGCACTGTGAAACAGCTGCTCCACAAAGGAGGAACCCAAGCCTTCAGATTTTCATGCATCAAGTCCTGGGTCTGCTTTCCAAGCTTCTCCTGTGTCTGGCTTGCATGCTGGCTCACTTGGTCTCTCTGCTCTGCAGCAGACACCGTAGAGCAGCGCTAGACTTGCATGAGGCGTGAAACAAACACAACCCCCGATTTCCCAAGAGTCAAAGCCAACATGCAGAAGGCTGGCTAGGCTCAAGATCTGCTTGCACTGCATGTGGGCTGAAGTTCACAGCCTGCTTAGGAAGACAAGTAGCAAACTCCAAAGGAATGGAGATACTGCCTTTGGCCTTCAAGGCTGAGGGTGCTCTTTGTTCAAGGTTTCTGTGTGGAATCACCAAAGCAATTAGCATCTCAGCTTCTGATTGGTCACAGTCCTCATCTCCCCCCCCCCCCCTTATAAGAACTCCTGGACCACAAAGTCATGTTTCTTCTGTAAGACCCAAAGAAGGTCACAAAGTCACATGGACCTAGAGAAGAAGGTTCATTGTCAGCGAGACAGGACAGAATGCTATGCTTTAAAGACCCTTGCCCACTCTTCTCTGGAGGCATTTGAAAGAAACAAAACCTCTAAACATGGAGGGTTAGCATAATTATAGTGTCTTTCAGAGATGAAATAACTTACAGAGAGTCTGCTTGCTCCTCTTTCCCTGTTTGGTAAATGGGGAAGGAAGATGAGGAGCTACTTTTCCAACTTCTTTCACAAGAGGGGATCCAGTAAAACAAAGCAAGTCCAAGTTGTTTGAAAAAGTGCAAGCCTATACACAAAGGCATATTATTATGGAAAGCTGACTGAGTGGTCTTTGGAGCAGTTTCATTTGACAGAATATGTGGGTGGTTGTATGAATCTAGCTTTGTCTATTCACAAACACATGGGTTTAATAAAGTGGAGTTTGTTTTTTAAGGTGTGTGGTCCACAGTTCCCTGAACCACCCCTGTTTGACAAACACTGACCGTGAGTCTGAGAAAGGCGGAGCCCCTTTCTACTGCCCTAACAATGGATAGTAGGAGTATAAATCTCTCTCTTTCTCGCAACTCCACAGGAATACCTTGTGCTGGCTCCATCCGCCACTTCCTGACCCTGCCCTTGAACTCTTGCTCCACCTTAATATGCAGAGCCAAGAGGACAGCCGCTGTGCTCTGAGTCACAGGGAGAGCTTCCTGGGGTGGGCTCGTCTGGCCACAGTCCTTACACAGTCAGAGTGGCTGGAAGCAAGCTGTGTTTCCTTAACACACACATGTCCATTGTGTCCTTGATTGCTTCTCCCAAATCCAGGAAGAAAGGGCTGAGTGCCTCACTGGAAGGACCCCAGGGACAAAGTGGCATGTGCCTGGGCTATCTATCCAACATTTTAAAATCTTATGTGCAATGTAAAAATGTTTTTAAGTGTAAGTAAACAAAACTACCTTATATTCTAATTTCTCTCCTATCCTTATGAAAGAAAGAGAGAAAAGAAAAGAAAAGAAAAGAAAAGAAAAGAAAAGAAAAGAAAAGAAAAGAAAAGAAAAGAAAAAAGAAAAGAAAATTACTGTCTGGCTTCTTCAGACCTCAACAATTTAACCAGTCTTGGCTCCTTTTTCCATCCTTACATCATTCTACTATCCCAATTTTGTATATGAAAAAATAGGGGATAAAGCAGATATTCAGTTGCTCAGAGGCTGGGGATGTCCTGCTCCCGTTCCAATTCAACTGACACGTAACCAGGGTCACCCTCTGTCACATGCTAAGTAACGGACAGGGGTAACAATCCACGGCCTCCCTGCTGAGGCCTCGTAGAACTTTGCTGCAACTTCTGTTTGGCGCACCTCCTGTTTTCAGACATGATCAGGAGTGTCTGACTCTCCTTCCCATACAACCCCTGGTCTCTTAGGTACAGGCTGGGACCACCCCACCACCCACAGGAGGCACACAGTAGTAGCACCAAGACTCAATCTCCAATTTCTGCATTGATAGAAACATGATTGTTATCTCAAGTTTTCCATTTTATCCCTCTTTGGGTTTAATTTTTCAAATAAGGAGGAAGCCATGTCAGAAAAGATGTTGTCTTACTTGGCCAATCTCAGTAACTACATCTATTTTCTTTCCAGCTCTTTTTACCAACACATTTGCCTTTGAATTCATTCCGTTCTCACCAGAAGTAAGTCCAGCTCTTTGAACAGTTAAAATATGCAGTTCCCTTTCTTCTTGATAATCAACATGGCATACTATTTGATTAGCCCAGACACAGGCTGGGAAGATTTAAATCTCAGCCATGTACATGCTGTGTGACCTTGGGCAAACTGTCTGCCTCTCTCTGTTTCATTATTTTCTTTCCTAAAATACCAGTATAAATAGCACCAACATAAAAAGTCATTGAAATCATAAATGATGGCACACAGCACAGTATACAGCAAAATAGGCAGAACATTGCCTAGCCCAAAGTGCTTGCTAACTTTTATCACAACACACAAGACACCAACATGAGTTGGTTATCTATGAACTATTTTCTGTCTTGTCCAAGAGGGTATTTTGCCATTCTCAAATCCAACTTTCTAGAAACCGTGGCCCAAAGAGGGGGAATTCTGACCTTTGGTAAGCGCTCTGGGTCGCCAGGATGCCGGGGAATGACCTTCTGTAACCTCTGGAAACCGTAGTCAATGGTAGGTTCATTGAGCGCTGTAAGGAAGAAGTCACAAGATTCAAACACTTCAGGAAATAAAGTGTGATTTTCAGCACAGATGGCAAAGATATAACTCTTTTTTTTATTTTTTTATTTTATGTACATTTAGTGTGAAGGTATCAGATCCCTTGAAATTGGCATTGCAGACAGTTGTGAACTGTCATGTGGGTGCTGGGAATTGAACCTGGGTCCTTTGGAAGAGCAGACAGTGCTCTTAACCACTGAGCCTTCTCTCCAGCCCCAAGATATAACTCTTAACATTCAGTAGATACTCTTCAGTCTCTTGAGTAGATTATCTCTATGTTGAGTAATTTCTACCATCTATTTTATTTACTATGGTGTGGTCTGACTGTCTTGAAGAAACATTGGTAGCAAGAGAGAGGAGGGTCTCAAAACACAGCTCTTAGAGCCAAATTCTACATCCTTAATATGATCCTAAGTAAAAAAAAAAAAATAGATTTGCCTCAAGGTTTTAGGATTCACTTCATCGCAGAAAGCTGGGTAAAAGTCAAGGGCTTGTCTAAAGGTACCTATACATTCTAAACAGCAGGGACCACACAGGTATCTGTAGAATCCCCTGTAGACATCAGTGGATCTAGTATGTCAGCACTTTTTATGCAGTGAAGACGGGTGGGCGGAGTGGAGTGAGAGGCATGTCTTCTAAATCCTTAAAAGAATCTGCATTGACAAGCATTGACCATGCCCTTGACCCAAAACCTTCCCATCTTAAGGGACAGACCCACTCACAGCAATGATATTATTTGAAAAACACCAACCTCTGTGGAGTACTACCACAACCCAGCTGAGTCTCCAAGAATGATTTACTAAATAAGACTCAGAGAGCCAACAACAATAATAACACTGGGAGACAATGGACGTCATTGTGTCTTGTTGGACACACTCTGTTAAACTAGACCAAGTAGAAACTAGAGTCTATGCTATCATTTTCAGAATTCCTTCCTAGGATACAAACCATGTTGAGCCTATCTAGTCTGAGAAGGGAGGAAAGATGGCAAGTCTTTCCTCTATCAAAAGCCCGGTCCCCTGAACAATAAGCAGGCAGTATTATTCTACTTTATTTTACTGTACAATTGCCTTTCTTTTCTTTTTTAGTTTACCTAGGATATTTCGCTACATAGTTTCTTTCTTACTGAATAAAAAGACTGTCTCTGCAGCCCTAACATTTTATCTATACATTAAAAAAAAAGTTGCCACATGCTTTACTTAAAACGCATTTCCATTAACCTAAATTTTAAAAGTAAGATTCATACTAACTTTAAAAAACTGTATTAAATTCAAATAGGTCCCAAGGCTAATGGAAGCAATTTGTATACCAACCCAAACTGACTGGCCCACTTTTCAAAATACAGGTATGATAATCTCTTGGTTTTAAAAGGACATTTAAATTGAAAGACTGTGAATTTAGAGCATAATTATACCAATAGAACCCTTTAACTTGTCAACTTGTAAATCTAAAAGGCTATCAATCATTGCTAAAGAGGAAATAAACCTTAAAATTCCTTGATTGACAGTGCTTACTTTTTTATGTAAGAAAAAGAGGGGGAGGGTAGCTGAATAAAGTGGCCAGAAATCCATTTACAAAAGTACATTGTTTTACATAGGTTAGTAAAAAGCCAGTAACTATTTCTACCAAAGACACATAAATCAGGGAAAGTACTTTTACTTTACTTGTATGTTTTAAGGCAGAATGAACTTCAAGTAACTTTATTTAAAAGATTTTCCCCCCTCTAAACTATAGTGCCTATTGAGGTCATTAATAGAACTGCATTTTCATTTTGGATAAGGTAATCATTTTTGCAAATGTGAGAATCGGATAACTCCCCTCTCCCTTCCCCACCCTTCCAAACAGTAAACTTTCAATCTGTCTCTTGTGGAAATTAGTGAGAATTACAGCCAAGTGTAGTGAATCTCTCTGTTTTGGGATATGAGTAAAGCTACAATATTTATTATTCCTTTCATTTTATGAAGTCTTTCTAAGCTCTTGAAAAGAACTCTTTCTTCAGAATGACATGTAGAGAAAAAGCTATGGAGCTCTTTATACACAGAGGCTATTACATGTAGGATTGTGGTATTTAGTCATGAAAGGCATCAGAGGGATGGGAGTGAGCACTGAGGGTTAAGTTACATATTATGTCTACCTCCATCCATAATGCTAATTGTCAGCAAAATGTTTAACCATAAGCAGTAGCATTAGACAATTAAAAGTACCACTCCAGTCCCTGTAAACATAATTCAGACTCTTACAATTTTTACCTTTTTAATCTAAGCCACCAATAACATGAAAGACGTGGACCCACCTATTTCATCATTTGCATAATGAATTGCTAGTATGTCTAGAAACTCATGCTGTTCATTGAAAAGCTTTTATACTGGGGATGAGGAATATGTGATTTTTCTGGCTATAAGGACAACTCACTGCAGAATGACTGACACTTAATATCAGCAATTAAAAGAATCAATTCAAATATCATATGGAACTAATAGCAAAAGAGCTGAGAATCATTCTGTTGCCAAGAAGAGTAATTGGATTAGACGTATTAAACTCATCACTCAAACAAAAATAAGCATCTATGCTATGGACACAAACCATGGGAGAGGAGGTATTTTAAATAGTGAGCCATGATGAAGGTTTCTTATGTACTTCTTTGCCTTTAGGGTTACTCCTCGATCATATATTCAAGTGTGTTAAGCTACACCAGTATTTCGGTGTACCATTTCAATAGAATGGTACAACACAGTGGACAACATTAACAATAAGGCCATAAAAGATAAAGTGTACCATCCCAAACTCAAAGGAGCCTGCTGACATCTCTGAATGCGCTGAGTAGGGGGAAAATGTGCTTGTGAGAGATCATCTAATAGTTTTGTTAGGTTTAAAAACATACACAACTTTCCCACAGAAAAGAGATTAAATACCTGGGAAGAGGAGAAGGAACTGAGTTCAGTGCAGAGTGAGGCAAAAAGTAGCAGAGTATTATGTAGAACAGAATATGATCCCAGTCTCAGAATTAATGTCCTATGACAAACACTAATTTACTGACATTTCTAGCATTAGTTTAAAAAGACTATAGGAGTATGTATGTCATATGATGACTTTTCAAGATTCAGATTTTTACGTGCATGTGTGAGTGGCTCATGTAAGTATGTGTGTCTGGTACGCAAGAAGTTTAAAAAAAGGCATTGGATCTCCTGGCACTTGAGTTACCGGTGATTGTAAGCTACCCATGAGGGCTCTGGAAATCAAATCTGGGTCCTCTGTAAGACCATCACATGCTCTCACTGAGCAATGTCCCCAGCTACTAATGTGCTGACTTTTTAATAAATGAATGAATGAATGAATGAATCAATCAATCAATCAATCAATCATTCGACAAATCTACCTACCTACCTACATACATACAAAATAAACAACAGTGTCTACACATACACTGCCAAATATTAGTTGTTTCCAAACTCATGGTTTCTAAGATGCTTTTCTTCCTCTTCTTTGACCTGCACATTTTCTGTTTTCATTTCCCAAACTCCTGCACGATAAGCATATATTATAAAATCAGAGAAAAAGGTTAAGACCAAGAAGATTGTTGCTGAGATGGAATCTGACCTGCTTGTATAAAGTAATGACATAAGAAACTGTGTCTTAAAAGGGGTCTGTGTACCCTTTAATAACCTTACATAGGTTATTACAGACCATAAGAAAAATAAGTAGTATACTTTTGCCCAGTTGTATAAATATGTGACTATACATAAACTCTCAAAAAATCAACAGAGAGGGTAATGGGGGAGAATCATAAAGAAGGGATATTTATTTCATCAGCAGGAATAGTGGTACCTTTGGGACATGCACCTACCCTACAAGAATGTACTATAAACTTAATTCTTCAACAAAGTGACTTCATTGTACTCAAGTGCAGGGCTCAGGGGCAGCAGCAAAAACAGGACTAATCAATTTTCCCCCTTAAACTTGGGACAATTCAGAGAATCAGGCAGAGAAAGAAAACAAAACAAAACAAAACAAAACAAAAAACCAAAGCAGCTTAATTGAGCATAATTAGCCCACATAAAGGCATGGGCAACTTAGGTTGAAAGAAGAAAAACAGATGAGATTGTGAACTGCAGAAGGCAAGGGATGACAACAGGGGCTCCTTGGACCCTGCTTCCAAGCATCTTATTTTCACTCTGACAAGGACTGCAGATGTATTCACCCCAAAATCAGGTAAGGATGACAGCAGGATAAAGAAGGCTCACGGGTTTAGAGAAAAAGTCCCTTGGTCTACATAAAAATGGCCCAATGCTTAAATCCTAGGAATAAAATGGGACCACTGTATGCATTTTTTGAAGTGATAAAAGATAGAGGTTTCATTTATTTGTGGTGAGAACCACACCCACTGCTAGGAATTAGAGTCACAGCATCTTAAGCCTTTAAAATTAAACGCTGTACAAAGAGCATATAACCCAAAAGGAAAGATGAAAAACTTTGATTGTAAAGTCAGCTTGGATGTCTTAGTTTGGCTCTCCCTCTTGTTCCAAAGTCCACTGCCTTGTATTCCTCATGGTGACCACTTTGAACAACTTCTAATGAATGGTGACATAGAGGGAACCAGGCCACTAGAAACCATGATTAAATTGAGATGCCTTCCCCTGACCTCTCCAAACTTATTTTCTAGTACAGCAGTTTTCAACCTGTGGGTCATATGACTCTTTCATGGGGGTTACCTATCAAAGACCCTGCAGAACCTACACTTACATTACAATTCATAACAGTAGAAAAAAATTATAGTTATGAAATAGTCATGAAATAATTTTATGGCTGGCGGTCACAACAACACGAGAAACCATATTAAAGGGTTGCAGCATTAGGAGGGTTGAGAACCACTATTCTAGTAAATATACATTTCTTGACTACATGTATCATCATGAAGCTCTGTGCAGCGTGCTAAGGAAAGGCTGAAGCTTTCTTGCAAACGTATACAGGCAA